AAAAAGCTTAAATGAAATAGATAGTGGCCAGATATAACCAAAGCTACATCCTATTCTAATATTAGGCTGAATTTTGGCTCAAGCAGACTCAGGTGCTCCTGAGATCCCATCTAAGTGGCACATATTTTGTTCTCTGGTGTTTTAGGAACTTTATGGGTTACTGGTGCTTCAGTTGAAAAATATCTAATTAATTTCAGAAAGCATTATCTGCGCTGGTGAAAATTAACAGCATAATGAATCAAGATCAAAGGGAACTTTCCAACACCGGGGTCTATCAAATCAGACATGCCTAGTCTTCCTCTCACTTGACCATTAAAGATTTTATGTTAAGCCGGGGACTTGAACACCAGAACCCCAATTAAATTTGGTCCTAGGTGATTATTTCAACTCTTCCTAAATTTTCGGTGAAGGAAGTTGAAGTGTCCTAAATGCCTGGGTTCTGCACGTGAATATCAGAGAAATAAAACAATGAAAGAAATTCTATCTTGTGAACATTGTCTAATACTGATCAGTCTAATGCTAATCATGTTTGAAAACCAGTAGAAGGCTCACCAGGAGGTGACCGGCCAACAGGACATGTGGAGCAGTGAAACAGCAGTAACAAAACAGTTAAGGTTTGTATTTTTCTCCTGGAGTTGCCTGTCTTCTAAGGCTATGCGTGCATTTCCACACCCCGTGCTGTGACAGGGATGTTCCCTGTGGAGACAGCACCATCAAGACCACAGGACATGGCGTGAGGAAAAGCATGGAGCATCTTCTGCAGCGGTCTTGGTATCACTCCCAGTGGCTGCCCTGCAGTCTGCTCTTGGCTCCAGCCCTGTTTCTGTACTGTCCCATCCCTACAGAGCCTCAGCCTTGAGAAGAAGCATGCCAAGGCTGTGTGATTTATATTTGCTGAAGGCAATTATCTCTTCCTTCCACCTTTAAAATGGAATTTTTTTTTGTTTCATTCTCCACAAAATTAAATGTGCTCTTATGTGTTTATTTAGGTCCACTCTTTTATGTGCATTTCTTATCAATTGAAAGTCAATCTTTGTTTTGGCGCAGGTGGATAGATATTTGAGATGGCTCAAAATGCTTTCAGAGGAAAGGAATGTTTCTTTTCCATTTCTGAAACCTGTAATAAGCTCTTTGTCAATCCCTGAAAGTCAGTCTGCATAACTTTTTGAAGAACTTTGGAATATTTTCACAGCAAGAGGTGGTCTGACTTTTTTCCCCTCAAGGTTTGTATTTAGAATATTTTTCCTTTCTTTTTTTTGCCTCTGACCATGTCTGTAGTGATTTTTTAATACATGTTTGTACAAAACATGTTTCTGTTAAATAGATACACTTATATACACATATACATGCACATATATATATATATATATATATATATATATATACAGAAGTTGAGTTGCTTCTGCCTTTTTACATGTGTACCTGAACCCTTCAAAGGATCACATCTCCTCTCATAGTCTCTTGAACAGAGCTATCAGACCATTAAACCTTGTCACTCTCCACTAGTCATGCCTGGTATGTCTTAATTTGTCCTTCAACCTTCTCAAACATTTTTCGGTAGAAAAATGTGTATGCAGCAAGAAATGAAAAGTTTTCATTTTGAATGCCAGAATTTAGATTTTGCTTGTTTTCTCACTCACAAGGAGGATGTCTCTGGAGTAATTAGAAAAAGAATAGCATTAATTCTGCTTCTCACTGAGGAGGATGCTTCATTAGGATTGATTGCTCATTTCCAAAGATTGTACATGGCTAATATAATTACCTCTGGAGAACACAAGGCACTGAGCAACACTTATATCCTTTGGACCACCAAAGTAAATGGACCCTTTAGAACAAGCTGAATACTTTTATTTATAAGGAACGTATAAGTGAGGGTTTCAGTTCCAGCAGGAATACTGTCAATTGAATTATGGTTCTATGACTAAATTTGAGTCTCTGTTCCTTTACCCTAAAGGTTTTGTATATGCATGTACAAGAGTCTATCTATACGCACATACAAGACTTTATATAGGACTAGATGAGACATCACTGAAGGCCACCACAAGAGGCCACACCAGAGGAGTCACAGTTCTGTTTCACTTTCATTGGAAAGTCATCACCATCAAGCCACTCGCTTATGCTGATAACTTGAGCCTGATTCGACTTCACACAAAATTTGCAGCTGCAGAAGAAATAAACCTACTCCAGAAGCCCTCATCCTTTGATTCTTCTGTTATCTCTTACAAAAGAATGGCTTATGAATCAAGGACCTGAGTTTTTTCCCTATGCTATTCCTATACTTTTATTTCTTCCATGTTGGCCTCATTTCTGAACAACTTCTTGTAATTGGGACAGAGTTTTATGGGAGATCATAGGAAGCTGGTTTTGTCCTTAGGTGAAGCCATGAATACTGCTACCTGGCCTTGCAGGCTGCAGGACTGCCCATTCAGTTTGTAGCAAAGGCCAAAATATTAACCATTATGTGCAGATTTTGGCAGGTAAGAAAGTAAAGAGGTTTCACATAAAATGCACAAAACTATATAGGACAAAAAAGTGTGGTCATCCAAACAGAAACATGAAGAGACTACGTAGAGATGAGAGAAAACGAGAACATGTTCTTTTCTAATGAGCACTTTCCTGATATCGATATTAAACCTGAATAAAATCAGCATTAACTGTCTGGAAAAAAAATCTACAATATATAAACGTGGGCAGAGCACTTCTCACATCAGTTCTGAAAATATCAGTGCAGGATTAACACAAGATCAACCCAGGGGAAGACTGGTAGCTGCCCCACTACAAAGATGAACCACACCTCATATTCAACTCAGGATTTTGAGGTGCTGTCTGCTGTGCAGCAGCTGCAGTTATGAGCAGACTGTTCAAAAGACTGTTCAGGCAAGCGTTTAGGGAATCTATTTTGGTCAGCATAAATATAGCCATCCTTTGCTTCAGCAGTCAACATGAGAGACTGGGAGGAGGAGACACACCCATCCTCCTTCCACATTCACCTAGAACTTTGAATCCCAAAGAGCCTGGACACTTGTGAAAACATATGGAACACAAAACAGAGCCTGTGTTGTTTACTGCTGCTACCTTCCATGCAGTGAGAGCTAAACTGCAACATAAAGCACACAGGGACATCAAAATCCTGGTCACTGGGAATTGGAGCTGGACTCACCAGTGGAGTAGTCAGAGCAGGGGTGGAAAGGGGGAGCAGTTTGGCAGACGATGTTAAGTACTGAGGCAAAATGGCAAGAAGTCATGGGACATAATTACCTGTGTAAGGATCAGGGACAAGTCAAAGACAAACATATGGAAAGATACAGGTTGTGTGGAGGCGGACCTGCCCACATGGCAGTTGAGGGGACAAGCAACAAACGGCAAAAGGAGAAATCAAAACTCTCCCTTTCCTCTCATCTCTCACGCCTTTCCTCATTAAGGGTATTTAAAGATATCCTAGTATTTTTCTGAAACTTCCTTTCCCATCAAAGCACATCCTGCAATTTCAGTGGTGATGGTAAGTCTTGACGAATAAGAGTGAGGAGGGTTAGGAAATGCCACAGCAGTCTTAGGCAATTACAACTGGGAGGGGAAGTGCCCCTGGAGCAACCTTGATGAGGGTGCAGTCTGAAGATTTCGTGATCCCAGCCCTAGGTACAGCACGTACATCACCAGCACACACAACAAGTGCAAACTGCATTACAGAAAGAGGAAGAACACTGAGAACCTTGCTACAAAGGTGGCTTTTCCTGTAAGGGAAATGGTGGGGCTGAGGGTCCAGGAATACCTACTTACCAGTTAAGTGGCTGGCAATCCTGGCAATAGGTTTAGGAGGCAGGGCAGGGGGCTGTTTGAGGAGGGACAACTGTTTCACGGGGGTGTCCTCATGGTCTCCAGGGAAAGCGGCAGATTTTTTGGGGGGAAGTAGCAGGACTGGCTTAGCTGTAGGATCTTGGGACAGGAGGACTCCGGATTCATTGGATGTGGGGCTCTCTTCAGACACTGGAGGACACAACCACATCATAGACGCAACAACGTTACGAGCAAAGCAGCAGCAGATACAGCCGAAGTCAGACAAGAAAAGCAGCACAGCAATGCAGATTAGGAATGACTCGTAGATTTCACTCAAACATTGTATAACACAGAAAGGAGGAAAGAAGGAAAGAAAGAAAGTAAAGGAGAAAGAGTAACACACATCTACACAACAGGCAAATTTCCCATTACTTCTGACAGAAGCCAGCTCCCCCATGTCAGGCTGAGATGTACTCCCACATCTGGAACACAAATCAGGCTTTATAATGTCACGTCTGGGATGGTCTGCCACCACAGCTTGCCTAGGACCAGATATGTTAGCAGGTGGTCTGTAAACTTACCCTGAAAAAAGTAAAAAGCACCTCACAGGGCCTACTCTCTTTCGAAAAGGCTGCATAGCTGCGCAAGATCATGGATGACAACTTCTACTGTTCACTTTTCCTCACTTGACCTTTGTCCACAACTCTCAGCAGCACAACCTGATGCAGAAAGAGAAGCTAACCTAGATGTAGAGCATTGCTGTCTCTCTGCACAGGCTGGGGAAGAAGAGCAGTCAGCCTCACCCAGGGTAGGGCAGCTGATTGTGTTAGCTACTGACACCACACAACACCACGTGGAAGGTAGAGGGCATGATGTTGTACCCCAGGGTTCAAAAGTGTTGTAAGCTCTCTGCTCTAGAGCTCATTGGTACATCTGAGATGTAGACAGGGAGCTGGAAACCTACTTTTACATGTTCACAAAGTGCAGGGGTTTTGCCTCACTCTGAGGGAGATTACTTGCTTAGAAGTAGAGGTTACTTCTACATCATGTCAGTCAAAATTTCTCGTGGAGCATTCAGTGACAATCTCTACACTGTTACTTCCTTCTACACCAGAAGACCTTCATTTTGACAAGGATTTCTCAGGGCTAAACACCAAATGTTAGAAGTCAAAAACTTGTTTCAAACAGCTTAGAGTATCTACACCATAACATAAAGAAGACGTTACCTGTCCCATCCATGATCTCTGTGGTTGGGAGCACCTCATATGAGCAGGGTTCCACAGATGCTGGGACTGACTCCAGTTCTGCTAGGGCTGGCAGGGACACCTGGCTGGAGCTCAGCCCAGAGCCCAGAGGCTGTCCATTCTCCAAAGCTCCTTCTTCATTTGGTATGGAAAGTTCCCCGTCTGTTCATAGTCGGAGGAAAGAAGAATGGCAAAAAAAAGAGACATAAATAAAATGCAGACAGAATTTTAAATTAAATCTATTTCCATTAGATTGTTTTCAAATGAAGAACCTGGACAGAGATCTTCTATATACACATACACTGGGTTTATGTGGAAAGGTATGGATAGCATGGGGTCTACATGGATGACTTCTGTGAGTAGCTGCCAGAAGCTTCCCCCATGTCTGATGGAACCAATTCCAAGCTGGACCCACTGCCGGCCAAGGCTGAGCATATCAGTGATGGTGGTAGCACCTCTGGGGTAACAAATAATTTAAGTCAAATACCTGTATTGATCTTTTGCTCTACCCCGGAATGGTCATTATGAACTGTGGTCTAAATTGGTTGATTCCTGACCAACCTCAACCCACACGGACATGCAGTCCCATCCAATGCCAAAAAATATCTGTTTTCCCTCTCTCTGTTGAATCTGGGAAGTCAGGAATGATAGTAGGCTGGAACTAAAGAATATTAATACATACTGCATATAATATCTTAATATTACTAACAAGAATTATTAGCTTTCCCTACACCAACTTTTATGCTATAAAGGACACAAGCAAAATCACAAGGATATGTCCCTATTTTACATACAAATAACCACATTTTATGTAAGAAAGAGAATAATTTTTATATTTGCCTGATGTAAGGTCTTGATACTTGGATATATCAGATTCCATTTAGAAAGCCTGTTTTTACAGTTACTAATAATATCTCCTCTATCTGAGCAAAATTTCTGTGACAGCAGCTGGCATTTTCTTTCCTATCAAATACCACTTCACATTAGAAATAATAAAGAGCAGAAGAAAGGATTCAGATTATTCTCTATAGTGTCAACCTGCATGATTTTTATCTCTGAACTTGTTAAGCACAGCACTCTGGTACCTGGAGGCAATGACTACATGGATATCACAATTAGACTTTTATAAAGCAAAGTGTTCAGCCTCTATGGTCACAATTGGAAGCCTGAAAATATAACTGAAATGTGACCTGTAAAACTAAAAACCAGCAGGCAAATATGCAGAACTTGATTTTAATAACCATTTAAATTACTTCAAAAAATGAAACTCAGGATTTCAGAATATGCTTTTAGATTTTTGGGCACCACTGATTAGCCATATTATTGCTCAATGTAATGAGTGGAGATGTACCTTGGTCAAATGAGTGCACATTTTCCCCTCACAGGGCTAACAAATCACTTTGGAAAACAATACTGAAAAGATAAAAAAGTCTCATTTTGGTGCTAGCATACAGCAATTAACAAGTCTGAAAATACATTAGCTGATAACTATTCAGAATTATGTTTCTGCCATTTAAAGCTTCTTTACAGTGAGTGAAGATGGTCTCCTGTTTATTTTGAAATTATTATAAATACCAAGGTCTTGACTTTCTTAGTTTTGTTGGAGGCTTTTTGGAGACCCAGAGAGCTATTATGGTAGTGCAGTCACATCATACTAGACTGAAACCTGACCCATGGCTTTGAGAGATCAACTGAGCTGGCTAAAAGGTGGCAACATGAATTAAAACTAAAGGCTTGGGCCAAGTGTTTGTAGCACAGCCTCCTTTCTAACTGCTGTGGCCATTCTATTCAAAGCTGTTTACTTCCCCAGACAGCAAAAATCAAAAACCAATTCAGCCAGTATTTAAGATGAACATTTTTTGACTTAGCTGTGTACTCTGTGCTGGCTTTGTCTCCCTTTTATAAAGACACACACTTATACACGTTTGGGATAAGGATTAATGTTGTCTCAGTTACCTGGTTTCATGAGAGTGCAACTGTTTCTTATGTAGAGCACCTGCTTCTTGAATGAAGGGCAGTGACTGTGTCCAGCAATATATTCATTAGTTCAGTGCATTAATTCAGACTAAATTTGACTGTAACTATGAGAAAAGTATGCATGACAAACTCAGTAATGTTTGCTTTTTGGAGGGATGACTACACATTCTTCATGAAGTGAGATGCCTATTGCAATATGCTGAGCATCTTGAAATCCTACTGTCTTAAGTGTGCTATGTACTTCTCAGGATATATTAGCATGATTTAAAAAAACAGCATTTGAATGACCCATGAAGATTTACAATTGCAAAAAAAGTAAAATGTAAGATAAAATTTTGGCTTTTACCTTTTGTCATAATACTAAAGCATGGCATCTTTCTGTACTGACAGCGTAACCGTTTTTAATTCTACATCTGAATATCTTTAATCTTGATTTAGAGTCTAAAGCTTGTCCTTGGATTTGTATGAAATCATCAGACATGGCACAGAATCATAACTGAAATATACACCCTAAATCAGGTATTGCTTAAAGAAGAGCTACCTGGAGAGTTGCTCAAGTACAGAAAACAGATCACAGATGAAAAAAAAATAATTTGTAGAGGAAAGAGCATCTCAGTGTGAATTAATCCTGCATCAGAGATATGCTTGACAACAGATACAAAAGGCAAATTACTTATTATTTTCAAAGTATTAAAGCTACTCCAGTTGGCTGATATACAAATGAAAAGAATCCTGGTAATGCAATTAGTACATATACATGGATGAACTTATCTGTTTTCAGGAACTGGCTATGAGTTTAAAGTTAACTCTGCACAGTGATAACACATGTAATCTTTTGTCCTCAGACTTGCGAAATCCTTTGCTGTTTTCAGTGTCTGGTGCTACTTAGTGGAAAATGAGTTCCCCTTAGTCCATGAGCTTTAATAACACCAGCTGAGTGTGAAACTGGATGGGTCCATGAGGGAGTAGCTTGACCTCTGCAGCAAGAGAACACATGAAGGCTGCTCTTCTGTTACTCAGGAGACTCTGCACACCTGAAGTCATGGAAGAAACAGGACCTCAGAGGAAACTCTCTTATGCAGAGGACTCTGCCCAGACACTTTGATTCACCTCAGCCTGTGAAAACAACAGCATGGAACGAAGGCCCAGAGATACATAGATGATGTCTTCAAAACCTGTGGCTTCTAAGCATGGTTTGTACTCCTGAACACACCTGCATCTTCTACTCTCAGGTACTTCTAAGACATTGCCTGGTGCGAAGCAGGCCACAGGGCATCACACCGACTGACACAAACCAGACCTATTGTTTGTCCCTCTGTTGTAGCTCTGCCTACCCTCTCACTGTGTCTTTTACTCTGAATACCTTGGACTACGCAACTTTTTGCATACCTGAAAAGTGCCACGCCCATGCATTCCTTCTACAGAAGACTGGCTATGGAAGTCGAAACGGACAAGTTGAAATCTTGGGTTAATTTTTGGATTGGGTTATCTCCTTCAATATTTGTCTGATTTCAACTAGACTGTCCAAGCAAGAAATTCTTGATAATAAAGACTAGGAAGGGCAGAGTAAAATTCATTGTCATTCTCTGCCATGATCCCAAGGGTGGGGAATGGAAAATTGAGTGTTCTTGCATGTGGTCAAGACCTGCCCCTGCCCTTGGTGGCTACCTTAGAACAGTAGCTGGAATCCTGCACAACTTCAGCACCTAAGCAGACCCCTGATTTTGTGGGATCCCATGGAGTTTGAGACAGGCTACTTCTGGAGGAGTTCAAAACTTTTCAATTTCACTGCAGCACAACTGTCTCTCCAGTGGCTGCCATGCCTTCCTGCTGCTTTACCAAAGCCACTTCTTCTTTGTCCTCACACACTGTCAAAAAATCTGCTTTAGTGCATAAGTGCAACATGTCTGCATCCTGTCAGGACTTAGGTTACCTGAAATTTAAGTTTAAATCCCTAATTTTAATTAGATAGAGCATATTAAAATACAAGAATATAAAAGATGAATACTGCCCATGTTTCCTTGAAGAACCATTGCACCATTGCCTTTGGAGTAAGTAATTGGTTCACACTCATATTCAGAAATTTCTCACTACAGGCAATCTCATCTACATTCAGAAAGAAGAAGAGGTATCAAAATACTACAAGTAGATTTGCTTCTTTAACCAGCAGCATGAAACAGTGGGCAGTTCTAATGACAGATGTTTTTGGGACGGTTACACCTTCATGTGGAAATCAAGGTCTGTACTTATGCGTAGGAGCGATGGCAAAAATATGAGTTCTTCCAAATGTTGAGGTATGTTCTGTGATGCAGGTGGAAGAGGTGTTTTTAACCTCTCAAGACTATCTGCCCACAAATTATAAGAACAGCAGGAGCTTAATCAGATACTTCTTCAACTTACTATTTTCCAAAAGTAGAGAGTATTGGAAAAAATTATAGCTTTTGCCTACATTTTTAGAATACTCAAGTCACAGAGCCCTGCAAAGGGAAGATAACAGAAACTGATTCTGTCACGAGTTTGGCCCTTAGCAAGGAAAGAGCTCTCTGCAGTTCAGTCAGGAGCAGCTTCAGGTGACTAATTTAAGTGTGGGGATCACTGAAATTATAACAGCATTTCTTGTTTTCCAAATATAGCAGCTGGACTGCAGCGACTCTCCTATGTGTGACTACTGTGACTTACTGCACTCTGATAATTTTCACCTGCTGGGTGACACAAAGTCCTCTGAAAAGCCAGCAAATCCTGAAGCAAGCAGGTCAGAGCATCACTTTAAACAGCAGGCAAACAAACCAGCTAATTATGCTTTTCTTCAATGTAGAAGATATGACAAAACCAACATTAAGCACAAGACAAAAATTCTTCTTCTTGGATCATCTGTCTGCACTGTTTCCTTTGATTGGTATGGGTTTTTAAAGAAAGAAAAAGCCAAAATTACTCACAGGCCTGCTTTGCCTACCTTTTAGGCAAGGGAGACAAAGAGATTTACACCTACTGTCTGTGCAAGATGCCTCTTGGCATGGAAGGTGCTACCACAATCAAATAAAGCATTCTGCTAGGAAATGCTAAAGGTCTGTTGTTTTCTTGAAGGATTAGAGGTTACCTAACAGGAATTACAAAGAAAATGTAACTTCCACTTAAGGTTGTCAATGAAATAAATCCTTCATTAGAATTACTCTCAGATTATTACACCACTAAAGGAAGTAATGCTTTTGCTCTACACATCTTGCCTTTTTCATATTCTTGTATCATCATAGCTGTTTGAGTACTGCTGCTATTCTTGTGTATTATCACCTTCTTCTCTGCCCTGCCCCTTTCTTTTCATATCAGCTTTGTAAAGGTGAAAAATCATTATAAAGAGCAATTAATTTCTTTCTTTCAAATACCTACAGACAACTTAGAATCTGATTCACAAGATGACACAGAAGTTTATAAATGACATCATTATTTGATCAAAAGAAAAAAACAACCTGTAGTGCTTTGGTAGCAACAGAAGAGGAATCTCCCCAAGTTTCAAAATGGAAGGAGGAGTCAGACTTTACAGAAAGGATTTTTCCTGGGGAGACCTTTAGGTTTATGTAGGGATGGTTCAGAGAGTGGCTACATGTGGGATGTGAGGCAGGGATGAAGGAGGTCACACCTGGGACAGAGGTGTGACTGAATGCTGCCTTCTGAGCTGGCTGAAGCTCTGCTCACTTGGTGTGACAGCCTGGACCACACCTCACTGGCTGCGGGTCCGATCTGAGTCACACTAAAAATGTGGACAACACAAAGCAGTGAGAAGGGCAAGCCTATTGACATGAGGTGTTTTTACTCTCAAGTTGCACCTAGGTTGGTCTATAAGCCAGCAGGTCATCGTGAGAGCACACTACAACACATAACTGGTGGAAACTCTAACATTTAATGATAAGCACATTTCTGCTGCTGTTTGTTTTTAACTTAAAAAAATAGCAGCCTGGGTTAGTAAATTTTAAAATTCCTAATAAGCTAGAGTAAAAAGTAGGTAGCAGATTTAAATGCTCCTGAATTTATGAAGTAGGTTATAGTTCTAATATCTGTGAAAATTTCTAATTTCTGTTGATTTCTACCAGAGTTTGTACTGCTATTGTAAAAAACCTTTAGACTTCAAATTAAGGAAGCTTTAAAGCATATGCATAAGTTATATTGTGATTAAGAAGTAACATTATTATGTCTTTATATAATTTGTTGAATTAATTGCCTTAGTAATTGACAAGGGAAGCAGCAAAACAAATGCAAGATGCACTCAAATACTGACATATATGTAACAGATGTCAACTATGTATTGCGTTACCGGTGTAAAACAAGGATGTTTGTAAAACAATGGCATTTTGCATAAACAAGACATTACAAACTCAACAAATTAATTATCCCGAACAAGGAATTATCTCTTTTGAAAGGAATTGAGCTGTTTCAAGGGAAAGTACATTGTTCTGTGCTCATCAGGATCCAAAACCTTTAAATGTTTCCCTTTTCCACAACAGTTAATCCCAAAGTGACTCAACCAGACAACGGCAACACACAGAGGCACAAACCCACTACATTTCTCCACAGCCTGGATGCTTTGTTCTTTTGCAGTCAGTGACTACTGTATATTGCTGTGATTTTTATTTCTATTGCTTTATATTTCTGATTAGTTTTCATTTTTATTTGCTAAGTAACTACTGCATATATCCAAGAGAGAGGGCCAGACCATGGCAAAGTCAACAGAAGTGTTTAGAGATCTTATTTTGCACAGTCTTGCAATTCAGAACTCTCTATTCCCAGTTCCTAATGTTACAATTACGTAATGTCTGGCCATAAAACCATACGGTATATCAATTTACTTTTGTGAAAAGAAGAACACTTACCTTTATCAAAAATTTCTTTCAGCACTCCTCGTTTTATAAGCTCCTCTCTGCTTTGCCTCATTGACATTTTTCTTTCCAGAGCTGTAAGCAAAGGATAGGGATCAACAGAAATAGAAAAGAAGGGAAAATATTGTTTTAAAAGACTCCATGCATTGTAAAGACATTTAAAAAACGCTTTTTCTCCTCTTCAAGTCAGTGGCAGTTCAGCATCTTGAAATAAAGGCTACTGGTAATCCAGAGAATGTCTGCTACTGTAGTGTGGCTGTTATTGACAGAAATGGTGGCAGACTGACTGATTTGAGGGCATGTCTTCACAGCCATTGCTTGATTTTGACACATAAACCAAACATTTCTGATTTCCATGGAGAATTAGAGACAGCAAAGGGAGAAAAAAGAAATTATTGGAAGTAATAAGTAAAGAAGTAAAGCAGCTGGAGAGGGAAAGTTAAGAAAGAAGGCAACACAAAGGCTGAAACCAAGGAAAGATGCGGCCACAGAACATGGCCACGGACTGGGTCCAGACTGTGGAAAAGAATGAAAGCCAAGGCTTTTTTGCCACTTGTTCCATTGAGGGCAGGTTATGGTGTTTTCAGACAGTGCAAAAAATGAGCTGTTTAACAGAGCCTTCTCTTCCCTGGAGGAGTGGTTTCCCCTAAAGAGATGCAAAGGAGGGAAACTCGAAGAGAGCCACCGCAATTTACACCATATCTGAACAGCTCAAGTTCTGTATTGGCTGCTTGGAGACCATGGTCACTGAGGCAGCAAAATGACAGATAGAAAATACATGTTCTTTAGTGCAGTAGTAATTAAAACAATGTCCAATTAACTGAAACACAGTTTCACACAAAGGACACACACAGGCAAAGAGCTGAAAGCCAGCAAGCCGGGGGCTCAAGAAGTGATGTGAAGGAGTGGCTGTGACTGAACCCATGCTCTGTAAGAAACAAGCCTGTGCCTGCCAAAAAAGAGGCACAGTCAAGGGCAAATGGCTTCTGCCATATGCTCTCCTCCATCAGACCCAGCACTGATGCACGTACACACAAACGAACTGGGACTTAGCATCCTCAGCCTGCCCCAAGCAGATTTAAAGCAAAAGAGGCTTGGAAACACCCTCTTCTCCCCTGAAAACAGGAAGTTGCAACCTTTCTTGGTACTGCTGTGTGTTGACTCTTCCCACAGGGACTCATATATCTGGTGAATTAGCTATGCTTATACTGGCACACCGTGCTTATTGCAACTTATTTGCTGCCAGATACTTACAGCTAATATGAACAAGGCCAGCTTGGCTTCACTTTTCTCCACAGGATAAATACAGGCTTCCCTGTTTTTAAAATCAGTTTTGAGCATGTATTCTTTGGGACAAAGATGACCAACATGTACAGACAGAAGCTAGTTAAAAACCCTGCTCTCTCCAGGGAGAGACACTCTCTGAACTTCAGTGTGGATGAGAATTAAAGGCAGGTCCCTTTGCTGAAGCACAAGACCCCATACCCACTAACCAGCTACATGATGCAGTTTGATTTTGTAGGTTGTTAACCTAACAGCCACAGCAATTTCTAGAGTGCTTTACACCCATTTGAAGAAGTGCTTTAGGCACCTCAACTGACTTGCAATGAAACACTGATTTCTAAGTTTCTAATATGCTTTTGAAAAGATAGGCCCAACTATAAAACTCTGGAGTCACACTGCAGACTGCTCCTCAAGCTGTCTTTTCCTTATGCTGAAAGGGTCTTGTTCTGGCACAGCATTTAAAGCTTTTTCCTCTTCCTCCTTAAGAATAGCTGCTCTCAGACCTTCCAAGAAAAGACAGAACAAGCTCCAACTAATTCCTGAGCCTTCTTCCACTAAAGAAATTGTTAAAACTCTGACTGAGTTTAATGAACAATTTGGTGGCACCCAGCACCTTTTTCAATAGGTCTCAAAAAGTGTAATTTTCCGTTAGAATAAGCAGCAAACTGAACTTGTTCTTCAGTGGGAAACCAAGCTGGGTGAATTGGCAGCAAAGCAGCAGTTTCTGCATATAGACAGCAGCACTGCACACAGAACAAAGACACAGGCAAATTCTATTTCTGTACTCTATCTGTACACAGATAGCTAAGTAACAGATCCACATTTTGCACACAAATTCACTGGCATCCACCTGGGTGCCCTGTCTCACCCTCCTGCCCAGTCAAGAGCTGGTTATGCAAGGTAGCAGCATTAATACCAACTTCATGGCTAGGAGGTCCCACCTCATTATCATAGTACTGGTAAGAAACACAGTCATTTTGCAGACTAGAATTAAGGCTTTTGGGGACTCAGGCACTAAAAAGGGCTTTCAGGACATTTAGAAGTGCAGGAGTGTCTCTTCCAAACCAACTGCTGAGGAACACCCTCCGGTAGTGATCAAGACTTCTCAAAGTAGTGGACTTTTTGCAGTTGTAGAATTTCAAAGATAGAATATATATATTTGGAAGACTATGTATATAAATTTCTCAGATATTCCCTATTGCAATCTGCCTGTGTTCAAGAATGAAAAAACCCACAACCCTTGAGCTCAAGCTCAGACAAAACCAATTTTTTCAGTTTCTAAATCCTTTCTAAGTAGGTACAGGACTTATAGTATTAATTATTTTCCTACTAAGCCAGTTTAATTAATAAGATATTTAGAGGAAGGGCATGCTGGGCTAAGAGCAGCACTGAATGATAACAGCTGTTATACTAAAACTGTGGAACATTCTGCCTTTCTTCAATACAAATCTTCCTCCCGAACAAGTGTTGTGCATAACCTCTTATGCTACTGCTGATCAGATGGGAAAAAATATAAGCACTTAGACATAGAACTCATTAGGGTCTAACACCCTGAACAATGAAATGCTTTACTTGGTCTGGATTTCTCTCACTAAGATTGCCAGTTCTTTTATGAAGGATTTTGTTTTCAAGCAGAAAGCTGGTACAAAATAAATTCATTCACTCTCCACTGAGAAGGAATCCATACACAGCAGTGGATAAGTGTAAACCTTTGAAATAATCCTTGATTCATGAGAACCGTGCAAATTCTGTGAGGGGAAAAAATGAATTATAATTAATATTTAAGAAAAGATGTATTACTTCATTAGTGATTTTCCTTGGTGATTAACCTCTTTTTTTTTCATTTGTACAACCTTCCAGGAGATTAGAAATAAGCATTAAGCCCTCTTTATGGGATCTACTTATGCCAGAAACTAGTTACTGTAACAAATTCATCCACTCTACAAGAAACTCTCAGTTACTAGTTTATAGAAATGAGCCTATGTGTATTTTATGGTAAAAGCGAACAGATTTTGCCAGTGTGCTCTGCAGTAAGCTGTTTCTTTGATGCTTTGATGAAGAAACAGTGGGAAATGTTTTTATTAATGTTTCTGAGCTGGTATTTTTGACCTCGTCCCTCAGGAGTAGCCCCCCTCTGCTGTTCAAGCAGAGTTTTTCTCTGTGGCAGACCCATTAAGATCAGTAAAGCCTTGACAGGGTCAGGAGAAGTTCCTGCCCCTCCACTCTGGAAATCAAACACAGTTTTGTCTTTATCCCTTTAACAGGCTGCTGTGCTCGTGATGGCAGTGCTTGTGGGCTGCTGCTCCAGCTGGGAAGGCGAAGCCCCGCGCTGCCTCTGAGCCAAGCGCTTCTGCTGCTCCATTACCCAGCCAAAGCGGCATTTATGCAGCCACGACACGCAGCCTTTCCGTCCTCCCATCCTTCCCTCCAAGACTAAAACATCTCAGATGAACTATTCCAACCTGCATCTGTATCAGGCAATAATAAATTAATAATAAATATTATTATACAAGATAATGATAAAGTGTCCTCCTTTGCAGCAATTGTCATGTTGCTGCTTAACCAAAGGGTGGACTAAATAAACAAGTCCTGCCCTTTTCAGCTGACAACTGAAACTAAACCCCAATCTGTGCTGGCCAGTTGGATCTTAACCTTGCTTTTTTTTTCTGAGGTTGTCATTGGCTTTTGTTTTAAAAAGCACTGGGGGATGTTTTGCATGAATTCTTCCTTTCAAAGGCCACTATAATTTTAATGATGATATTAGAAAGCAAAGGTTGTTATAGGATGAAGCTGAGAGCAGAAGCTTTCTGGTGCATCAATTATAGGAATCTGCTTTGCTAATAATTCAGATCTGAATAATTAGAAACAAGCAAACCAATTACTTTGCACAATGTTTAGATAAACAACCAACAATGTTTTCTTTAGATTTATAAGGAAGAAAATATTTTCAAATGTGATGGATTATGTATTAAAATATTACATCATCTTGGAATTTTCCCAACTATGTAGAGTTTCTTGGCAATCAAATGGAGCAGGATTCAGCTGATACAAATTTTTATGGTGTGCGCTTCTGCCTCTGAGCTGGTCTCATATATTAAGAGCAAGTCTTGGGCATGATTAACCTCAGACTAATGTAAGAATCTAAACAAGATAGAGCTGAACCTTGGAAGTGCCTGTTAGCCTTCACTGACTGTAAAGGAAGCTAAGGGTGAGTAGCTGAGATAAAGATGTATAAAAATAGGGCTGAATATACTCCTGAAATCAAAATAGACTGAAGAGAGTAGTTTTAAGAAAAGAAGCACTGTTATAGATACAAGTCTTAGCTCCATTAATTTCAGGATTGTTTTAAAAACTGTGGCATGACACTCAGCACTGCTGCTGTGAGCTTGGGGTATGATCAATACCAAATCATAGCTTGGTTGAAATAACTGCATTGCTCTGCTCATTGCTAAATATGAATTTTGCTTGGCTTCAAACATGCATAGGTCTCTTGAAGCCTGAGGAAAGTGAAAATATTCCAAGAGGTTTCTGAATCTTTGAGATTTAAAGTTCCTTACAGAAGTTTTGAGCATCTCTAATATCAGCCTAGGTTTTCCTGCAAAAATACCAACTACAAAACCTAATTCAGACAGATTACTACCTAGAAAAGATTGGGAGCCTCTTTTTGTTTGTGTGCCTGCCCATTACATTCATTGTTGTGACTGTAGCCTAGCACTCCCATTCTATGAAATAAGTGAACATTTGAAGGAGAAAAATAGGCTGGTATAAAAGGTTAAGCTTGATTTTGAAAA